TTTCGATTTTCTAAAACAATTTTACTTTTTTTTTTTAAAAGACAACTCTCGCATTAAGATATATTCTGTGTCGCGGGGGACTTTACAAACACGCATGAAACCGACACAAAGAACGGTTAAGTTACTTGCCATTCTAGTTCACACTGAAAATATATTAAACTGTAATAGAATCTTTAATCTTTACTCCTTTTGGTTTATTGAAGTCGCGCACCTCACCAGATTCTTACGATAATGAAATTACCATAAAAATTCACAATTATTTACTGATTTGTTTTCCGAGACTATTATTATAACATATTTTTTCGTATCTTTAATGAAGAAACTATTTCACTAGATAACGAATAAGATTGCATTATTCTATAATTTTACAAATAATAGCTGAAATTTCACGAAAAAATCAGATAGGTTACCTTAAGTAAACCTAAGGTATTGGGCATCGTAGAATTCAAATATGGAATAACACTGAAACTATGACAAGGTTGACTTTTAACGATATGACCATAACATGAAATGATCGATGATATTATGATGTGGCCACGACATATAAGTACACTGAGTGCACAGCACAGGGTGTAGTGCAATAGTCTAAAAGCTATACCGAACAACTGACACGTGCCTACGACACTGTGTGTGTCACGTAGTTGATTTATTGTTACTATAATATGTTTATTGGTACTGGCAAAGTCAAATGAGTTTACGATCTATTTAATACTCAGTAGTAACATAGTTACAATAAACTTGAACGCTTATTATAAGGTGCAATATATATTGTAACAGTGATGTAACGGTACAGTGATGAGGACGACACAGTGATGTAGCTTCACTAATCTGTGACTGCACAGATGGCGTAGTGGTTTAAGCGGTCGCCACGCGCCCACTGCCCACTATGATGAGTGTTGTGGGTTTGATTCACACATGGAACGACATTTTGTGTGATAAACAAATTGTAAATATACAAATTGTAAATACATATATTGATAAATAAACTGTCGTTCGACTTCATAAGGTGCTGGTCGATGAGGTTATCTTTTTTTTTGCAGTCGGTATTAGTCCGAACAATTCCTCGGAGCACTCTCCATGATATATACAATAGAGAATGCAGAGCGAAGCTACATCTCTACGTAACGCCAAGGGATCGAGCCGGTCGCAAATCTTTTGGCTATCGACGATTCGAGTCGCTCTTCTTTGGATTCGATTCAGAGGGAGCAGTATTCCATATGCGGTCGGACTTGCGCCTGATAGAGTTGGAGGCGATGGACTGGAGTGAAATACTGCCTCGATCTGTTCAGCACACCAATTTGACCTTACCCTCTAAATGGACTGCACGGGACTTCTCTCGATATCTCGATGCCTAGGATTGCAATACTGGCTGAGGCAGTTAGGAAGGTGCTCTCGAACTGGGGCGATACGACAAACGGTATCTTTTTTACGGTGAACGCACATACCTGTGTCTTTTTTGGGTTAAAATGGACCAGATTCAGTCGACCCCAAGCTGAAACCTCCGCTAAGGAAGTTTTAACTTCAGACATAAGTTCGTTTCGAGTCTCGATGACGTTTTCCCGAGAAATAAGTGGACGGCCGGTATAAAAGGCATCTCCCGTGCTATCATTTGCATAACAATGGATGCCACTAGTTAATAACATATCATTGATATTCAGAAGAAACAGTGTGGGTGATAGAACACAGCCTTGCAGGACACCAGCATGTACTGACTTCAAGTCAGAGCATGCACCGTCGATAGCGACCTTAATGCTTCTACCTGCAAGGAAACTGGTGACCCAGTTGCATAATTGGTTTGTCGGTTAACCCAACCAAATGTCAAGTGATCGTCATAGGAAGCAAACAGATGTTAAGTAGGTTGGACACAACAATTGTTTTGAACGATATAATCATACCTCTGAGTCCAGTGATTAAGAACCTAGGGCTTCATATTGACTCGATACTTCACTGAAAGCACAAGTCACCCACTTCAGCCAGAAAGTCACTACATGTCTTCGCGCCTTATATCGTCTCAAGAATTTTCTGCCCACTAAAACCAAGGCTACGCTTATGCAGCCCCTTATTACTCCGTTAATCGATTATGGTGATGGGTGTTATCTTGACCTGAATGCAGACCTCCTCAATAACCGACTTCTCTTCTTCTTCTTCTTTTGATCTTCGCAAGTATGACGCGGTATGCGCGCTCTAACATATCTTTTTTCATTTCTCAATTCCCCATCGGTACCTGAGTACCTGGTTCCCCATCTCCGCCTCCTTTGCTCCAATTACACTTCCAGTTTCATCAATTCTTCCTTCTATGTGCAGTCAGTTCTTCTCTGGAATTCGCTACCAGTTGAAATCAGGATGTCCACTAACCGCTTTACGTTCAAGAAGAAAGTACAAGATCTTCTTCAAAATAAGTTGGCAGAAAGGTCACAACGCTACTACCCCACTATGGATTTTAATATTTATGTATTTATAAATGTGTATGTTTATGTATTGTATCTCCTTTCTAAGGAGAGGCTTATGTCCAGCAGTGGACTATTAAAGGCTGTTGATGATGATGTATTGTATGTGTATACTTGGGACCTCTATGTATATATCTAGTAATGAATATAGTATTTTATTTATAGTATATAGTGTATATATGTAAGTTATATGTATCTTAAATTAATAAATGTTATATAAATAAAGTCAAATTCCTTGTTTTCTCTCGCACCTACCGCATCATTTTTCTACATCACCCGAAGGTTGACTGGCAGATAATGCCCTGGACATTAAGTCCGCCTGTGTAAAACTTGTGCATTAAGTTATATAAATAAACTAGGTGAGACCAGCGGTGTTACCCGCGTTTGTTGTTATAACCGCAGGCAACGCCGTGGGGCGAAGCTAGTCTAAAAAAAATAGCCTAAGTTACTCCTTATGTCATCAGCTATCTGTCAGTGAAAGTCCCGTCGAAATCGGTCCAGCCGTTCCAGAGATTACCCGGAACAAACAGACAGACAGACAAAAATTGTAAAAAAAGTTATTTTGGCATATGTACCGTGTAAACATACATATGCATTTAGTAAAAAGCGGTTATTTTAATATTATAAACAGACACTCCAATTTTATTTACTTGTATACGAGGGCGGGTCAATAAGTCCGTGACTTTTGGAATAAAACACAGATTTTTTGATGAATAAATTTATTTTTCAACGTAGTCTCCCTTGAGCTCTATACACTTTGTCCAACGCTTCTCCAATTTTTTTATCCCTTCCAAAAAATATGATTTGTCGAGGTCCTCAAAATAGGCCTTTGTTGGCGAGATGACTTCATCATTGCAGTCAAATCTTTTTCCACCAAGCCATTTCTTCAGGTTTGGGAACAAGAAGTAGTCACTCGGAGCCAAATCTGGAGAATAGGGCGGATGAGGGAGCAATTCATAGCCCAATTCATGGATTTTTGCCATGGCAACTGCACATGTGTGCACCCTTGCATTGTCTTGGTGGAAAATAACTTTTTTCTTGGCCAAATGAGGTCGGTTTTTTTTCAAATCGTCATTGAATCGGTCCAATAAGTTGGCATAATATTCCCCATTGATTGTTTTTTCCTTTTGAAGGTAGTCAATGTGGATTATCCCGCGTGCATCCCAAAAGACAGTCGCCATAACTTTATTGGCTGACAAACCCACCTTGGCCTTCTTTAGCGCCGATTCACCCTTAGAAACCCACTGTTTTGACTGTTGTTTGGTCTCTGGTGTGTTGTGATGGATCCATGTTTCGTCCACGGTTACAAAACTCTTCCATATTGCGATACAACAACGCCAAACCTTCCTGTGAAGTTGTTACACGATTGCGTTTGTGGTCGACTGTAAGCAATCGCGGCACCCATCTTGCGGAAAGCTTTCTCATGCCCAAGTGATCATTCAAAATTGAAACCACTGAGCCATGCGAGATCCCTACGGCTTCCACAATCTCTTGCACTTTCAATCTTCGGTCGGCCAACACCTTATCGTGAACTGGTCCAGGACGTTCGGCATCTTCAGTGCTTGTCCGGCCACAACGAAATTCAGTAAACCACTTTTTTACCATTGAAATCGATGATGCAGAGTCCCCATAGTAATTATCAAGCTTAGCCTTGGTCTCGGTAATGGTTTTTTTTCGCAAAAAATAATGCTTAATAAGCACACGAAATTCACTTTTTTTCCATTTTTTCCTCAAATTACTGGGTAGTCTGATAAAGATAGCTGTCAAACACAAACTAACTGACGCAGCAAGTTCAAATTTTGACAGGAGTCAACTGACAGATGCCTGTTGACAGGAGTAGTGTTGCTTTTTCAGTAAAGAGGTCAGAAATTCAAAAAGTCACGTACTTATTGACCCACCCTCGTATATAAGATAAGATAGATAGAAGATAATCATAGAGATATAAGCATAGAGTGAACAAGAGCCCCAATCTTACAATAAAGGCAACGAGAAAGATGCATAATATATAGATACTATCTCTTTCTAGTCAGGCTTTGTGGTTGGCTGGGGAAATTTCTAATCTCCGCCTGTTCTAAGATTAAAACCATGCCAACTTCACAATTGCCAACTTAGTTAGCCAGCTTAGTTAAACTGTAAAGCTTCCACTTACAGTAAGCCTACCCCGTGTTCTCCCTGTGCTTATACCTCTATGGTTGCAAACGTCAACGTTTTTCTGACAGTTTGACAGTTGACAAGTGACAAGCCTGACAAATTTGTAATTGATTGAATAAATAAATTGTTACTGAAGAAATTACTATTAAACTTATTTATATTTATTCTCTTTAATAATTAAACTGTATATTTACAACGTAATTTCTTTGTCTAGTGTAAGCTCCCGTCGATATGACAGTAAACTGTGATATTTGAGATCAAATGTGGTTATCTAACTGACCAACAACTGACGATGTAAGAGCGAAGTTGAAGATATTGCATTTTTACACTAAATTTAAAAGGAAATTAATTCGAAGATTATACATATTATAGTTAGCGATTATATTATGATTATTTAATAAAATGTGGAAAAAAATCAAAGACAAAGATTACTTCCTATCCTTCATTCAAAGTCATGATTATGAAATATGCGTCACAGATTTCGTCTCTGTATGGACTGCAACGTTTTCTGAAAAAGCTTTTATAGCACAATTGAAGGTAAACTCTTGTGCTTAGTAAATATTTCACTAACAGATACAACTCATACAGTGTGTGTGTAGGAAAGCCTATCTTAGCAGTTTCTTCATTGAATTATCATGATAATACTAGTTTAGACTCTCATGTTGAATGAACTCAGAGGTGACATGGACTTAGGACGGCTCCTTGTCAAGACCGTTTTCCTCTACAGCTACATATCACTGAGATTTGAACTTGATCTGCACGATCATAGGTGACAAGTCTTGCAGATTGCACCACTGTAACAGTTAAATCTGTAATTATGCCATTACCCCGGTGTAAAAATAAACAGTTATTTAAACTGTGCAAAAATATGGTTTGAATTCACAAACTTACCAATTACACTGCCATGGTATCAATATCTTGCTATAATTTTTATCATATTTGTGTTGATGATGATATTTATTTAGTTAAATAAGGGTATTTAACTAAATAAATATTGCTTAAATATTGAACGATGTCATGATGATGGTTTCTTGGGGACTTCCTTACTAGGGTATGCTTGAGTCCAATAGTTAGTGTTTATTACTGCAATAGACTTACATGATCACAGAATGTGTGGAACTCTGTTTGGTTTTAGATAGTTCGATTCTAACATACCACTTCTCTGTAAACCCCAGTGAGGTGATGACCCGTGGAGCTATCACTCAAAGAAAAGGGTAATGATTATGATATTAAGGTATCCGGATTAAGAAATCACCTAATGATAGACTTTCTTAACTTACCTATAACTTACTTATTAAAAGCAACTTAACTATGCCTATTGATTCGAAGCAAATTAGCTATTGAGTGACGGACAGCTGTCTGTCGGTCTCTCAGATTCAGTGTCTCAATTCTGTGTTTTAATTTGATTTTAATTGATGTTAAAATCAATTTTTTTAATATATTTAATTTGTTACTAGTAACTAAAACAACATATATAGACTTTCTTAACTTACCTGTAACTTGTTTATTATAAGCAACTTAACTGTGCCTATTGATTCAGAGCAAATTGGCTCTGAGAAACAGACAGACAGATGCACAAGTGCTCCCAAAAGAATTCTGTTTTTTTAATTTGATTTTAATTGACCTTAAAAACTATTTCTTTATATATATTTAATGTATTACTAGTAAATAAAACATAACATATATGAAATGTTTTACATAATAGACTTTCTTTAAAGCTGTATGTTTTACCCACAAATGCAAAAAAGGACTTGACACTTATTAAAATATTGTATCTTTTCCAGAATAGTAATGATGGACTGTTATTGGAAAGTGATAAAGAGTACATAGATAATGGATTGTATTTACTAAATATTGGTATAGATACACTGAAGCATGTTAGTTTAGAAGAGAATGGTGACCACTTACTGTTGACTATGAGGACAGTCATTGAGTATCCTTTTGGGTTTGAATGTAAACTTTCCAAAGGCTCAAATGAATTTGTGAGTATAAAATGTGTTGTATGTTAAATGAAGAGATGAAATCATTGTTTCACTTTTCAAATACTTACATAACTTTTAAATCAAAAATTAGTAATAAATTTTATTTCTAAAGCTTTCAGCAATTATATGACTGCCTAGGTGGTGCAGTGGTGGCGTATGTGACTGCTGTGTTGAGGTTTCGGGTTTGAGTCCCGGCTCGTGTTTCGAAGTTTGGGTGTTTTCTATGTATATTATGTATGTACTAAAAAAAAAAAAGTATATGAGTATTCTATCAGTCAATCTAGCTTTTATAGTACAAGCCTTGCTTAGATCGAAACGAAGATGTTCGAAATATTATGATTATTTGAAATCATAAACATTGTTCAAGAACTCTAAAACACATCAATTTTGATATACCTATGTCTACATACCTAATCGCTTTACATGATATTATCATTCTTCTGTAATAATTTCAGTTTTTCAAGAAAGTTACTCAACCTCTTTTGGAAGCTGTTAGCGATTTGAAATCAAGTGAACATGGCCTTATTCAAATCCTAACAAAAAAGGACAAAGAAATTAAAGCCTATAAGCGGGAATTGGAAAACAAAGAAATTATATTTAGTGAGTATATTACATTTATCATTCATCATCATTATCAGGGTTTATTAGTCCACTGCTGGACATAAGCCTCTTCTTAGAAAGGAGATTTTGGGTTACTAAAATACGCTGTCCAGACGGGTTGGTATAGGGTTTGTGTCGAGTTTTGCTTTTCTTTGCAGTGCTGTTGCTCCCTTAGTCGGCTCTTACGGCACTCACGGGATGAATAGGGGTGGTGACACTCCATATTCTTAATCTATCACCACACAGATCACACACCACACTTTTATCATTGTAAAATTGAAATCCATATTTTTGTTAAATATACATAAAAATTATATTTACAGGACATGAAGTAACCAAAGCATTTAGTAATGCAGAACATAAGAAAGTATACAAGATATATGATAAAATATTTGGCTCTGAAACAATACCAAAAAGTGTTTTACTAAGATCGATAAAATTACCACAAAAACCACTGTAAGTTTATAGTATTACATATTTTTGACATTTGATGTATGAATGTATGATATTTAAGGAATGTTCATTTTCACATAGTAAAACTGTTTATGTTTTCTGATAGTATATACAAATTCTCTAAGGGTACAAAATAGTACTTATGTGTTAGTATTAAACTAAACTGTGTGTGATATATACAATTTGAAAAATGACCGTTTTGAAACTACTTAGTAGAAGTATTCAAGCTCTGAAGAGTCTTCTGTTTTTGTATCAAGGCTACAGCCTGGTTGTGATTGTTACACTTCAGAATTTTACTGAAAGCACCAATTAGATGAATCTTCTTTAATAATTAGTAACAATCAAATAATCTATCTTTACTCTGTCTTCTGATAGAGGAACACATAGAAGGCAAGCCATACCCTTTAAAAGGAGATGTTAGAACCTACAAGGCTTACAATGTATTAGAAGGTAATTTTCAAGCCAGCACCATGGTTTAAGAGAAGATCTATTTCTTAAAGCTCTACTAGGTGGTCTTGTATCGGTACATAGTAAAAAGAAGTCCTCAGTGTAAAACCTATAATTAAATACACTTGCCATTATTGATATAAATGCAACATAATTATTTTAATAATTTACAGAGCAGAGTCCATTGTACCTGATATTCGAAGTATCAAAAGAGAAGCAGACAGTATAAAACAGGAACAAGATAACATAAAAAGAGAACCAGACAGCATAAAACAGGAACCAGATAATACAACACAGGAAACAACCAGTATAAAAGAAGAATCAAGCAAAATAAAACAAGAACAATGCACTCCTGTTTTTGAAAATCAAGATTCACCATTGGTCACAAAGCCCGCAAGTTGTAAGCAAGATATCATCAAACCTGAGGGTAGTCAAACAAGAAGTAATGAACGTAGAAAGAGACTAAAATTGAGTTATTGATGAAATTTATTACTGAGATTGATCAAATTCTCTCCAAAACATGAAATTTTTTATTGAGAATTTGACTGTATGTATATGAAAAAATGTATTGTAGTATAATGAAGTCAATAAATATATTGAGGATTCTGAACTATTTTATAAAATTAAAGCATTTAATGTATGAACTTTACAACATTTGAATATAGTACTTAGTCCCTAGCTAAGTCGTGCAAAAAAATAAGAACTGGACAATGGATTTTAAAAGAAAAAAGGAGACAAGGACCCTTTTTAGATTGAGGAAATTTTTGATCTCGTATAACTAGATTAGAGTTTGCTAAACGAACCCTAGAACCTTCCAGCAGATCACGATTTGAATGAATTTCAATAAAGGAAATTCCTATAGATATAACTATTTGAATATAATATATACCTAGTAATATATTTTTAATCCTTTTAGCAATATCCATACTCAGTGTCAAAATAAAACAACATTTTATATTAAACTTTATTATACATTGAACTGTTAAAACTAATATAGGATTAGTTGTGCTAGTGTATAAAGTGTTACATCTAATGTGATATTGGAGAAAATACTGTAACTAGAGATGGCCTGATTATTAAATATCGATCTTAATTTATATTAAGATTTTATTTATTTCAACTTTTTTATCTAGAAGATATTATTATCTTCTAGATAAAAAACTTGAAAACAGTATCTACCGTACTTCATTTCTCACAATCCTATAGGACTGTTAAATTATTTAACCATAGGGAACTAACTACTCCTATGTAGATACCGCATTTTGGGACCAGCCCTTCCCTTTATCGATTTTCATTCACTTAATGTGCTCTTTATTTTTTTAATTATAGCAGGTTATTTGTGAATATTACGGGATTTAATAAAAAATGCCATTCAATGTTCATAGTTTACGAGGCGCTCTCCAATTAATTCACATTAGTTGTAACATTTCGCTACATGAAAATGCAATTATTTATTAATATTAACAAACGCATCTATTACAAAACGACTTCTAATATTTTTTTAAATTCGTTAGATATAATAATGTGCTTTGAGTCTATAATATTTGCTGAGCAAGTCTGATAGTCGCGTAGGCTTTATTTAAAATATATTAAACCTACAACATTAAAGGCCCTTTCAGTGTGTTCGTAGTTTTTTTTTACAAAAAGAAAAAGATAAATAGCACCAGCACAATTCGCAATCGATAATGGGCCTTATACACTTTGGTTTAGTATGAGCTTAAAAACGAGATTCCCGAAAAGTAGAATACGAGGATACTCTTTATGTGTTCAATATCCATTAATGAATAACACTTATTCAGATTCAACTAGCTGTTGTATATACGAGTTATGTATACCAAATATACAACAAGGAACTATTTTCTTATGCCATGTTTAGTTTGCAAAAAATGTTTTTGAATGGGTTTTTCTTTGGATGTGTGATATGTATTAGAACCGTGGGGCATAATGTACATGAGGTACCGGGTTTCAACTTCATTGATACAATAATGACGTGTTTACAGGTTTTGCTTTGCAATGGTAGTCTTTGACCTCACAGGATCGCATGTTACCTACATGTGTTTAACTATAAAAATGTAGAATGTGTTTAACAGTTAAGTCATACCAAGGTTTGGTCATACCTAGGTACTGGAAAATTTAAATAACCACAGGTATGCATAGCTCTTATCAAAGTCACTCTCGAAAGTTTAGGTACATACATTATTAGACAAGTACCTAAAACAAACAGTTGTAAGAAGGCTTGGACTCGCCGGTAACAATCGGTTACTTGTGAGCATCCCTGTGTTACTCGAGCCATTGCTTACATTCTCCCAACCATCCGTAACAGCAATACCTATCCCTTCCCCATAATTACCTTCTTACACACTTTTCATTCCTATTGAAGTATCAGTTGTCCCATCTAATCCTAAGAATTTTAAGTGGGAGTGAAAGTATATGTGGCACAATGTGGAATATTTAATACGCTTCTGACTGCTTCTTCGAGGATACCTATAGACGTAACTTTACTTATATGTAGGTATGTATGTACGTAAAAAATATGTGAACATGTGTGCATATGTATCTACACTACATGGATTTATTAGTCCGCGTTAGGTACCCTAAAAGACCATAAAAGAGGGTTCTTTTACTGTTCTTTTTTCATTGGCCGAAAAATTTACTTATTGACATACATGAGTCATCTGATAATATTTTTATTTAAACCAAATGTGCAAGAAGCCCAAACAGATTTCTTCTACACTCCCCCTTTTATCTAATTTGTCAAGCAGATCAATTGTTTTTGTTTAATCTACTAATGTATTCATGATTCCCAATAATAACTAAATCTTTCCGTAACATTTTGTAAGATTGCTCTAATCTACTACACAGGTTTTATTTAACTCATTCAAGCCAACATTGAATGAGTATATGAAAATCCTTTTAGACATAATTTATCTGCGAATATTGAGTTTAACATTTAAAATTGACTTATTTAATATTTATTAAAACTACGTAAAAAGTTCATAGATACAGACATTACCTATCGTCAATAGGTAGGGTATCAAATCTAAAACTGAACTTACTTTATTAAATTATTCACTCAACATTCACAAATAATAAGTAAATATTTTCAAATACAACATAAGTGAGTTTTAACAATAAACATATTGGCTGGTCTATTTATCGCATATTATTGAAAACAAATAAGTTCATACCTATCGTAGATTTGTGGGAAATATGATATATATACTTATATATGTAGTAAAAGAGCTACAGGACTACAGGAGGATTCGGTTATTCTGGATTGGTATTAGGATAGATTAAATTATATTGTTTAAATTTATATGTATCGCAAAGAGTTCCACCAAATCCTCCGAAACTCATTCGTCGCATTATCGGGACTGGTTCAACTCACATTCACTTCTGCAGTTATACAGTCAAATAAAATTGCACTGTTTTCTGAAATAGCTCTAACAGATTTACAAGTCCAGAATGAGTTTTCACCTGTCGTCGTATTCACTCATGAACTTTTCTAATCACGCTAGTGGTTCAAATGGTTGTCTATAAAGGATCTCATCAAACAGAATCATTGTATAAATGGAAGCCTTAAAACTATTCTATTTTAACAGCAGAACTAAGAAAGTGGATAAACCCACTTTAAAACATTTTCAGTGTGTTATGTCAATAAAAACAGCCATGTTCAACCTATACCTACGTACCATATTCCGAATTGAATTTTGTAAAATGTTACTTTGCTAATTTCACTCAGAATTTCTTACATATTTACAAACCATGTATGAAGTTCTAAGTAAAATGAATTTATCATGAAACAAATTCTACCGTCTATGTTAAACGACAATGTAACGTATTTTAGTTATAAAAAAAGGCAAAAATTCTGCTAGAACTAAGAATATCCTTCTGCCGTGTAACAGATGCCGTTTAATTCTCTGTTGTTTTTCTTAAAAGGTAAGTCATTAATCTTGTATTTAAAGTTATAGTCAATTTCATTGATAAATATAGTTTTGTCCTGACCCTTTCGTTGCCGGTGGCACATAGGTAGATACTTATCAATACTGAAGAAGGCATAGGTAAGTCTAGGCTTGAAAGAAAACTATAGTTACTATTGCCAATTTATATAGGTACCGATATTCTTAATATAATTGGTAGATACGGAAAAAATCTCGGTGCATATAAAATGCCGGAAGGTAAGGCCAGTGACCATGACTGACCATGAGCTATTGTTGTTCGCATATAAGAATACTGGTGCATTTATTTATTGCGATATCATCTTACACGAAAAATAGCACACATAATGCATTAAGCTTTAGTGCGTAATTGGATTTTAACAACACCATGTTAATAGCCTGCTATTATTCAAAGCGATCTGTGTGAACACCGGAGACAATTGCCCAAGTTTTTTTATTTATAAAGCTATGATTTATATCACGGTTAATAAAATAAATAGCACTAAAACAGCTAGTAAATCAGTCAAAATTATTAGTTTAAATTCAAATGTGTATTTATTTTTTAATGTATTTAATTCACATATGATGTCAAAATCCCAGTTACCGCCTATATGCCCCTTGCCAAATAACTCTTTAAAATAATGGTAAAAATAAATGATTCAACTAAACTTAGCTGTATCTACGTAAAAGTCAATAATTACCAAGAGACGAGAGGCAAAAGACCTTTGAGACGAAAAGAACATAATATTTTCTTGTTTAGTATATTTTACTTTCTTAACCGACTTCAAAAAAGGAGGAGTTTCTCATTTCGTCGGTTTTTATTTTTTTTATCACCTAAAAAAACGACTAAACAAGAAAATGCTGCTTACTTCTACGGGGTTTAGGCGCTTGCCAACGTTTCATCTGACATACAGGTTACAATATACATATTTAATTTCCTCTATATTACTCACTAAGGCTAAGAAAGAAGTGCTTAAAACGTCTTCAAAAATGGTATATAGGCTTAAATTATTTAGTTCTACGCGATCCTGTCCTTATTTGTCACACTCAGACATCTTGTCAGCTTAACCTAGACTTTCGAGATCCCATAACAGTAATACTAGTTATAACAAACAGTTTGCCAACTGAAGTGGCCATTTATTGAGCGAGTTGTTAGCCGACACGAGTTTGAGCGCCTGGCATTGATTAATTTGTTTGCCCATTAATGGCCTCTAGTTGTGGTAAAATCTGTATATCAGATGAAAACAGAACTTCGACAGCAAACAGGGTGTTGCAGTCTACACAAATACTAGAATGGTAAGAATATTGGGCTAACAACTACATTTTGACACATCTGTCTCCGAATCAGAAGGCTTTATGACGTTATCTCTTTCTTTCAACTCGAAGGCGTCCGCCTGAAATTAAATAAAAACTAATTTAAGTTATTGTAATATATTGCTATCTTTACATTTATAATCAAAAATTATTTCATCGTGACATTGATTTGACCAAACCTGGGGTGTACTCTATAAGCAGTGGTGGCCTTAACCACTGCGAGGCCACAGGCAGGTAGATCATTGCAAGGCCCTTGTCTTTGTTGAAGTAGTTTTAATGAAGTACTGTCCCTGACATTTGTTTAGACTGCCTTTTTTTTGGTTGACGGGGTAGAAAATCCCTTTAGATCCGACGATATTATGTATCCCCGTACGATCAGAATGGCCGAATTGAGCTTAGCTCAGCAACGGGAGGAGGCCGATAAGCGCTTTGCCCATATCTGCACTCCGTAGAGGGCCATGGATCGTATCACCGCACAGTAGAGGCGGCGAACCTCCCGCGGACTCGGAAGATCATTCGCTCGGAATGCTCCTCAAAGCTCCAGCGGCTGTCCAGGGTGAGGCCGAGGTATTTGATGTACCGATCGACCTCGACCTCAGTTCTCCCACTCTAATAATTGAACGGGTGGGAACTGCACCTTTGCGTTTCCTATGGAACCACAGGGCTTGTCTTATGAGGTGCAACGTTTAGACCCAGACCGCTGATCTTTTAGACGATACAAGCCACTCCTGACTCGGCGAGATCCAGGACCTCCTGGAAGCCATGCCGACTAGCCAGTACCAGAGTGTCGTCCGCATAGCAGACGACACTCAATCCTGGGGGAATGCTGGTGCTCAGGATGGTTCACAAAAGAGGTCCTAAGACTGACCCCTGGGGAATCCCGCATGTAACCTCTATACGATACGACCTATAAACCCCGATGATGTCCCTCAAATAGCGACGCAACTGGTGATACACAAGTGCCTCCCTAATCGCCCACCACGGGAGAGAGTTAAAGGCGTTGACTATGTCAAGACTGACGGCCAACGCCACTCACGCTTTCGATCGTATCGGTTGTCGGATAAGTCGGGACTCCTAGGGATAATCTGCAACAGTCTACCTACCTATCAGTGTTGAACTGTGTACGACTGGCCTGTTGGTCTAGTGGTTAGTGACCCTGACTGCACCAGAAGTCGTGGGTTCGATTCCCACCCAATAAAACCCACTAAATAATTGTGAGATGAGCATGGTAATTTGTTCTGTGTCTGGGTGTATATTATCTATAATATGTATGCATTTAGAAATATATAAGTATGTTACCATAGTACAGGCTCTGTCTAGTTTGGAATCAGACTAACGTGTGTGTAATATGTAAATAATATTATTATTATGGTGTAGAATTAAAGCGGTAGTTAAGACTCAGTTTGCGATGTGGATTTTGAATCATAACAGGTCTTGTTTACATTAAATATGTGTTTAGTAAAAATTCTCCGAATTAAATAAGTTTTACAATTTTTGCTTAATCCTTCTGGTTCATGCTTCAAGCTTTATGTTTTTATACGTTAAGTTTACAGTTTGACGATTAAAACTTAAATTATACCTAAAGGACTTAACCGGCTCTTCTAAAATTCTTGTTAAGTAGTAATGTTACTTTTGTTGTCAGACTTGGACATGCAAATTTTCGTCCTTTGCCAATTAAAGTTATTTATGTAAGTACCTTTACCTCCTCTATTTTCCGTATTTAAACATACATACCTTGGAATCCCTATATTCTCGTATTTTCCTGGCTAACGTGAGAAATGCTTCCTCAATATTGATGTTACTTTTACAGGATACTTCGAAAAACGGCATATCGAAGTCATCCGCTATCTGTAATCCCAACAAAAGCTTTGAGTATGTGTATTTAGTTGAAAATCTTCTTTTGTTTTCATCTTAGCGCCTAGACTTAAGTCAAGACTACGTCATAACAAACTTTCATTTGAATTTTTGATGTCTAACGGGACACTACACCTACTTTGCGCCCTTCAAAATGCTCTCTTACGTTGTTACCTTTTGGCCCCTCTCCTTAGGTACAGCTCTGTGATTCTCATGTACGTCGCACTTGTTCGCAACCAACACCTTGATCACATCGGGTGACGCGTACTAGAAATAAGAATTTCAATATAACTTAAACAATTGGTAAATCTTTGTTATATATCCATATATATCATAGGAAACAATAAATCTTAGTACGCCTACCAATGGCAATTTAAACGTTTTACCTTGATATGAAAGTACGAGTAGTATTCTGTTAGTAAATTATGTCGTAACTGCACAAATTTAAATTAAAGGCAAATTTAAATTCTAGATATAAGTTACAAACTTTTATAATACTTTTATGAAAAATTCAGTTAATAGAAATAGCTTAGCTTTAATTATCACCAACATTGTTTAACTAGTAAGTAGTCATCATCCACAGCGTTTAATAATCCATTGCTGGACATAGGCCTCTCCTTAGAAAGGAGGTTTTGGCTTACTATACCTATATATTTTCCTTCTCTTTGCAGGACGACATGCAGAGTTCAATCCCCTTAATTGGCTCTTACAAGTAAGTAATAGTAGTACTTAAAAAAATATGCTTGCTTACTTCTTGTATATTCCTTAGCCAGTAAGAGAGATGATTGAAGGACTCTAGATTGGTGATGTCATACATAAGTATGATGCCCATGGCACCTCGGTAGTACGCTGTTGTTAGAGTCCGAAACCTCTCCTGGCCGGCGGTATCCCATATCTGGAGTTTGATTGGCACACCGTCTAAGTTTATTATCTTTTGTTTGAAATCTATACCTGGAAACAGATAATAAGTTTACACATAGTTTATAAAATAAAGAGAATAGATAGAAATATATTCAATGTTAAAAAAAACACACAATTTCGAAACATATTTATCGTTTTTTAATGTTACAAACATTTTAATGATATGTATCATAATTTTATCGCGTCATATAATTAACGAAATATTTTTAACATAATAGGTATTACATATTAGTACTTTGGAATAGCCTGACGTGTCGGCCAGCACACTTAGTGATTGATTTACTTTACTAAGTACTACTAGTGTCTAGTAGAATCGTACAAAACTCGCACTGTTCTGAAGATGTGATGGCAATAGCTGCACCCAATTATTAGGTATATTATTACAATTCTTTTCTGGGTGCAATAACAACTGTCTTGTATCTTGCCCTATCAGTTCAAGAAAACAATGGATAGTGTCGTTGAGATGGGTAGTTGGCTGTGATATGGGGATCATGCTTATTAATGAATACTCTGTGCTCTGCACATTAGAATAAAAATAATCTATACTTTCAAAGAAAGTATAAAGTAAGACTTTTTGGCCTATATTTTAAAAACAACACTAGAAAAGTATTTATCTATTTTAATAAATGAAAGTATTAAAGCGATTTCAAAAACGGACCAGAAACTCGGAACAAACATTTTTTGGTACACACATACTACCTATTTTCATTATATCAGGACAATATATATAATGAAAAGCTGTAATTGAGTGTAGACTGCGAATGTTCCCTGAAGTGCATTCGATATGAGAAATTAGTTTTTTGTTTCAAAAGGAAAGTTCTCATTGGCATGCATGGCTGTGATCAGCTAGGTGTTTTTATTTAGTTCTATATTTAATTAGTCGTAGTATACAAAGACTACAGGTAAAAAAGTGCTGTAATGGTTACAAATGCACCTGTCGATTTATCGAAAGTAATAAAAATAACTGTTGCTATAAATAATTTGCCAGGCGTTATCTAAAAACTAAATTCCCTAAACTAAAAATTAAATTAAACTGTAGATAACTTCTTGTGTAGATGATAAAGAAAAATTATTAACTTAAAAGACTTTAAGCACTAAAATATCTTTCACTTTATTACAAAATATTTTATTCATTTATACCTTAAAAGCAAGCTATTCGACCAAATAAGAATTTGGACGAATTGCTTGTTTTTTAAGAGATACTTCTGTCTCAAGATTGTCTCAAGTTGAATAGACGTAAATTCGAAGAATTGTCTTTTACCTACAATACATTACTATTTTACTGCGTATACAATAGTATATGTAGTAAAGTAATGTGTTAAGTAAGATTATAGTACGAAAGGGCAGTAACAGTTAAAGGTAGATTATTATGGAAGACAACTTACGAACGGTATTAAATATTTACGACTATTCTATACTACAATGTTAACTGAACCATTGTTTCCACATTTTACATCCGCAATATAATTCTGGATAATCATAATCCTTTATTGTGTAAGCTACAAAACGCAAGAAAAGAGATTCGTCTGTCTGACAAAGACTCGTAAAACTAAAAATAAATATCCCACTTACCTATTGTAGATATGTATATATCGTAATATCGCTCATCACAATATCTATGCACAATACACGTTTTGCCTACATTTGAATCACCTAAAACTAGTAATTTATATGTTGCAGAAAAATCTAAAGCCATTTTTTGTTTACTTTGTTGTTGGTACGCGAGCGATGGCTCAAAACATCGGTCGAACTGTCAAAGTGAGAAAAATCAATGAGGGTAACTGCGCATGTGCGGGGTCGCCCATCCTACATTGCAACAAGTAACTATAACTAACAGTAGGTACGACCTTCTCTAACCTGGGTTTTCCAGAAAGGTGACTATTCTATTAAGTACATATATCGTTTTACATTGGAGTGTTGTTCAGTTTCATCGTCTTAGTACATTTTTAGTAGAGGCAATGGTAACAAAAGATAAAAACAATATACCTAGCCTTATATCACATAATTTCTTAAAGTAGTCGAAATAATTTTATTCAGGATACTAGTTTTACTATATTACATATTGTCTTAAGTTTGATAAAAACGTGATGAGTGTTGAAAATTTTCTAATTATATGAATTATTACGAAAATTTGTCACAAATGTATACCAAATATTATGTTAACTTTTGCCCGCGTCTTGTAGATCAAAATGTAGATTTTGTCAATAATTCCAGACATTCGGCCATTTTTCAAGATAAAGGATAATAATATCCTATATGCATTTTATATGATGATAAATTCAATATTTATTCAGTAAAAACAAACGATTTTTTATATTTTTAATATTAGAACAATGCTACATTCGTTACAATGAATAAGAGTATGAGACAGCTGATTGCAGCTGGAATTGTTCGAAGGGATCCTTTTTTTCAACAATGCTATTTTAAGCTGACAAATATTAGTGTGGACCTAATTCCGGGTAGTTTTTGTATTAATATTATGCAGCTAAGTAGGTATAAGGAATATTTATGGTTAACGATAAACTTAATTAATTAACGACAACGCTAACCTGACATGTAAAGATTACAATTCTGACGTTTAAAATGTATATCTCTTGGAGTTTAGGATATTGATATATTTTACAAGTAAATTTACATTTTTTTTTCAATAAATACTACTCCAAGATTAGGAATATGTTCTGTATCGTATAACTTCAATGTATTGGGAAATATGACCGACTTTGACGACCGGATCGCGTAGTTGTTTGTGTAACGGACAGCTATTCCAAAGGTCGCGGGTTCGATTCCCGCTCAAGTCAAACATTTGTGTTTATGAACATTTAATGTTTGATTTGGTCTGGGTGTTTCTATTTATAATATGTATGTATTTACAAAAAAAAAAGTATATATGTATTTATATCAGTTGTCTAGTAGCCACAATACACGCTCTGCTTAGTTTGGGACTAGTTGGTGTGAATCTGGTAGAATATTATTATTATTATTAATGTTTTCTTTTTTTACCTACATAAATAGAAACACACGATCCTTTCATTTATTTAAAAAAAACATACCATGAAACAACTGCCTTTAATATAGTCTTGAAAGAATTTGAAGTAGTGTATAGTAGTAGTATTACAGTTTATTTTTTTGTACCTTGAGATTTGAATTTTGATGTAGATATTAATCAAAATTTCAGGCCATCCCCCACCCCGCGGTTCAAGTTGTTTCTTAATTTTGAGACGCAATTCCTGGCTCTGGGACATTGTTTATTATAGTTATGTTGCTTTTTTAAACCAGAATGTTTAAATAGTGCCGGTTAGACTGTAATATCCTTTGCCATATGTAACTACTTATGTAACGTATATATGTAAAACACTTTTGTCTATCACTTAAGGAATATCTACGTAGCTTACACTTTGTGACAATTAGGTACGACAAGAAGTAATTGTTTATCGATTTATATATGGAATAAAATTAAAAATAAATTATTTAAAAATATTTTTAATTTTGTCTTTTAGTTATAAATGCCACAATCAAATATTAAACTATAATTTATACAATTTTAAATGCATTTTAAGGGGATGACTAGGGGTGATGACATTTCGTATTCTTAATCCGTCTAAAAACTAACACAAAATCTCGATTTATTAAATGGTCTTTTAATTCTGCACAAACGGTTACTGAGTTTAACTAGAATAGACAGTCCGTCACCCATGTAACCTTTTGATCTCGTTAACAATATCGTTGAGCAAATGTCGGCTACGACCATGACCCAAGCAAACAGTAATCAAATTTGGGCATTTATTAAATGGTCTTTCAATTCTGTACTAAGGGTTACGAAGTTTAACTAGAACAGAGAGTCCGTCACCCAAGTGACCTTCTGACCTCGTAAACAATGTCGTTGAGCAAATGTCGGCTACGAACATGACCCAAGCAAACAGTAATCAAATTAGGGAATTTATTAAATGGTCTTTTAATTCTTTACTAAGGGTTACGAAGTTTAACTAGAACAGAGAGTCCGTCACCCAAGTGACCTTCTGACCTCGTGAACAATGTCGTTGAGTAAGTGTCGGCTACGAACATGACCCAAGCAAACAGTAATCAAATTAGGGAATTTATTAAATGGTCTTTTAATTCTGTACTAAGGGTTACGAAGTTTAACTAGAACAGAGAGTCCGTCACCCAAGTGACCTTCTGACCTCGTGAACAATGTCGTTGAGTAAATGTCGGATGCGACCATGACCCAAGCATACAGTAATCAAATTAGGGAATTAATTTAAACGTAATATAAAGAGTTTAGTAGCATTTACAACTATAGTTGGGTTATAACGCAATAAAAAATAACGACTATAGGCTAGCTCCCTTTTGTGTGAGTTGGACTAAAATTACAGTCAGCTTATTAAGAATCAGTAATATGTAGGCCTCAGATCAAATAAAAAAGTTAAGATGAGGTACACTGTGAACAAAGAAGTGAGGCCAATTAAAACTACGCCACGGCGTGTACATACAAAATTACACACACTAGGTATAACTTCCTTGCTACAACGTGTTTGCTTTTTCTGCGTTACTCTACATTATTGTCATTATTCAGGGATTCCGGGATTCTTACTAGTCTCCCAAGTACACGGAGTACTCGGGGGACTAATAAGTAAAAAAGTACTCTAACTATAATAGGTTTTCTGTTGTGTAACGTTGTGTTAGGTCGTTTAAAAAATTAACAAAATAAATACTGAAAATGGTAAATAAATCTGATTTATAATTGCCCAATTAATGGAGCAAAGTCATGAAACGTCGTGTTGTGAACGATATTGATTCGTATCTAAGCGTAAATAGACGAACCTTCTCATTACGTATTTTCGTCGACATCAACTTTGACTGTGGTCGTAATCCCATAACTTTAGTCTTATGTATTGTTATTATAGGTTCGGCCTCTCTCCTAATCAAGTGCCGGAACACCTAAAAAGTCAAAGCAAGTTATAAAAATACAATTTAGTAGAAACAACTTCAGCTTCCGGGCTCCGTGGGTGTACAAAGATTAAGAGCTCCATTTATATTGCTTAAGTCCTCGATAGTACAATCTATACGATTCATCTCGCGGCCCTGTGCATGTAAATGCCTTATGTACTTAATGCCAGGACTCGACTGATCTCTTATCTATAGTCTTTGTTTTGGTACGTCTGTATTTTCAACTTAATGTGATATTTGTTTTTAATGTCAACTCATTTATGTTTATATACTTTTTCTGTAGGAACTGATGGTCGTATTTTGTATACAAGAAATATATCGACTAGATACAGTATAATTTAATTGCAATAGCGCTTTGTAACTAATATTAATTTTAATTAGGATTGATCATACTTAAAATAGAGAGGCGCGGTGAGGGCCTGGCCCTTAAATGGAGAGAGAGATATACTTATAGTAGGGGAGCTAATGATGCTAAATGAGGATTTACTCGAGCGACATGGGGACCTATTGCATTTGAAAGATTAGGTGATAGAATGAATAAAAGTTCTATCGTGTTTCCACTTTCAGCGGTGGGATAAGCTCCTACAGGTTTTCAAAAATGTAAGGGGAGGAAATCGATACAAAATACCTACTCGGGCGCTTCAGATATTTTGGGGATATGTTATTTGGACGCCAAAAATGCTCCCATTGAAAAGTCTGACGATTTTAAAGTGACACAAGCTGGTAGCGAATTATCGAAAATTCAAACTGCAAAATCGAAAAATCGCCATTTCGAAATACCCGAGCGTGTTAGTTTTTATACACATGATCCGTCTGATGCTCCTGTTATAGTAGCCAAAAATCTGACGATAATTTTGCAGGGTATTTTAAATCTGATAGTTGGAAATATCGTTTTTTTTAATGTGAAAAATAAAGGCACGAAAAATTATGTAGACATTTAAAGAAAAAAAATGCCAATGTCAGGTATTTTTTAGAACTTTGTGACCCTTCCACTGCTTTATGTCACGCTCAAGTCGACAGATTTTTTAAATACACACAATGTGTATGTAATTGACTCAACTTACCTTAATCCTACACGCTCGAGTGTTTTTGGCCATCGATTTTTTTTAACTAATCTAATGGGCTGCCTAGACGTTTCTAAGGTATTCCTCTTTATGTTAATCTGATAGTAATTTTCGGTATCCCTTACTCTATCTCGCCTTGGCCTATCTTACCTTTTTTTCTTTTTCCTCCTTTTTGTTTTACCCCAATTTACTTTGTTGCTTTGTTTCGTATAGAAATAGGTATACAAACTGCAAAAACAACAAATGTATTAAGTATTAGCAATTATCTTAAAACTTTGGTTAAAGCTGTGTAATTGTACAATATTTTTTTAAACTGCAATGTTAATGAAAAAACGAACAATCTGTAAAGTTTACTAGCAGTTTAAATTACCTATAATATGTTACGTATACTGACATCTTATTGGAGACGATAAAACATCAAGGCTATTGACCTTGAACGGAGACGCAATGTTTACCGTAGGTCAGTGACGCCAATTATGTATCATGTTGCTACCGCGGTTTTACTCGCTCTTGTTGCGCTACCTAAGCGCGCAACAAAGTATCTTAGTATACAAAAAAAGTGAATCTTTAAGATATAATATTAAGCTAATTCAATATTAAGCTAATGCAAGAAAGGATCAATTCACCTACTTATAATTTCCTAGTCTATGGTAATATTTGCCTACTACATCGCCCTATTAATGCGTCA